TAAATTATTATTTTATTTAAAAAATACTAAATACAATTAAATTTTCTAGGCAAATTTGTCTGGAATACGGTTTAAGAGATAAGTAATTTAAATTAAATAATTTAAACTAAGTAATTTGAACTAAAATGATAATATGAGGCCTTTGCAGTAGAAAGGGCCCAAACTTCCCTAAAAATCAAAATTGAGTTTTTTTTTAATATTTGGATTAATCTTAAGACGGGCTGCATTTTTCAATTATAAATGGAAATAAGTTGGCATAATAAACAATTGAGATATTTTAAAAAAACCTTTTTAGAAAACTTGTACATCACGAGATTACCTGATATAAACAACCAATCAAATCACAAAATTTTTGATTAACCTGGATCAGTCTGAAAAAATAAACCCGATTTTTTCAAAATTATATATTTCTGAGTTTCGGCCCTTTCTACTGCAAAGGCTTCATATGTTCTTAAAAAAATTAGCAAATAAGATTGTAACTAAATTATACATGCTGACAAAATTATTTTGGATTTTGGGGTACGAAATTAAAATTTGAAGACAAAATTGTTTTTGACCTATTTTACTTAAAAGACGAAATTTTTTGACACTTTTTTTGAAGAAACGAAATTATAAGAAACATAACTATTTAAATTAGATTTGCTCTTGCATATAAAAAATTTTAAATTGTTTTAATGGAGATGAAATAGGGTTTTTTTTTGAAAATCTATTTCAGTGGTATATATAACCTAAATATTATTATAATAGTAAAATAAGTAAAAAGTAGTAGTTTATTATTTGCTTGAAGCAGACTTGCTATTAAATAGAAAAATAACAAAATCAGATGAGTATTCTTTTATATATAGTAGAAAGTATTAGATTAAAAAAATACTAGTTATAATGCTTAATTGTATTACAAGAAAAAAATATTAAGAATTAATTTATTTGTTATTGCTTTTATATTGATTGAAGTTAGTAGTTTATTTATTATATTACTATATTAATATAAAACTGATATAATCTGATATTTTATTTAATTCTAACTTATATTATTAAAGTAAAATTATAGTATATATCATGTAATTCTGATCATTTTCCTCTATCTTTTTATTAATTAACTTTTGTTAATATATATAGTACAAGACAGTAAAAGATATCTAATCTATATATAAAGACACTAATTTTTGATGCTTATAATTAATTCTGATTGGCTAATTTTTGTATAATTGATTCTGATTAGTTAAAATTATATATATTTTCTTTTTTCTATATTAAATACTAATTTTTTAAACTCATATAAATTTTAAACCTTTATAACTTTTTCAAAACAAAGAATAAAAAAATCCTCTAACAAAAATATAGTTTATCTAAAAATTTATCAATTTGTTAAAGGGTTTTTTGATTTAGCTTGTTTTCAAAAAGTTATAATACTTTAAAGTTTTTACTAATAAATATTAGATATATTTTACTGTCTAGTACTGTAAAACTTTTTTATTAATACTTTTTATAAAAGCTAGTTTTATATTTAGAACTTTTTTATATTTTTTCTTAAGATCTATTAGTTGGCAAGAACAATATACCAAGTATACTAAATATATATTCAAGTGTAAATTTAATTTTAGATATATTAATATGAGAATTACTACTCTTAACCGGGGGAAATCCCCTCCTAGTTACACAGATTATGATCTACATATAAGTATCTTTTTTTTTTGTTTACATCATTTTTAGCTTTTTACATCGTTTTTAGCTTTCTATTTACTAATTTTTTTTTTTTTTTTTTTTTGCAGCCCTCTTGAATACTTCACATAGCTTCTTGAAGTCATCATATGCTGGAGCTGTCGCTTGGTGTCATCGTATATTGGAGCCGTCACTTGGTGTTATCGCATGTTGAAGCCGTCACCTGGTGTCGTCGTATATTAGTGATGGTGATTCCGTTCATGTGAAGGTGTCGTTGCTTGTATGTTGATGCCGTCGTACTAGTGCTTTTATTCGTATAACAGTTTCTTGCTGCTGGTATTTTCGTTCGTATGCTGGTGCCTTCGTAATTGTCAGTGTTATCGTTAGTTTCATATTGCAATTTTGGCACCACTGCTGATGTTGTTCATGGGGAGTTACTTTCTTTTTTTGTCTTTTGTTCACTTTGTTCTTTACTAACTGCTTGTTTGTTCGCTTTATTATTCGTTGATTCGTTGCTGCTGGGTTATTATATTTTTTAGTACTGGCTTGGTGTCATCGCTTGTATGTTGGTGCCGTCGTATTGGTGTTTTTATTCGTATACAGTGTTGTGCTGCTGGTATTTTCGTTCGTATGCTGGTGCTTTCGTAATTGTCAGTGTTATCATTAGTTTTATGTTGCCATTTCAGCATTACTGCTGATGTTGTTCACAGGAAGTTACTTTTTTTTTTTTGTCTTTCGTTCACTTTGTTCTTTACTAATTGCTTGTTTGTTCACTTTTTTATTCGTTGATTCGTTGCTGCTGGGTTATTATATTTTTTAGTGCTGGCTTGGTGTTATCGCTTGTATGTTGGTGCCGTCATATTGGTGCTTTTATTCGTATACAGTGTTATGCTGCTGGTATTTTCGTTCATATGCTGGTGCCTTTGTAATTGTTGGTATTATCATTAGTTTTACATTGCCATTTCAGCGTCACTGCTGATATCGTTCATGATGAGTTACTTTTTTTTTTTGTTTGTTTGTCTATTCGTTCACTTTGTTCTTTACTAACTGCTTGTTCATTTTTTATTTGTGGCACGTCGCTTGGAAATTTAGTTGCTATTGATTTATTGTTGGTTGGTAGCTTTGGAATATCATAATTTAGTGGTATCATTATTGGGGTCATAGTGCCCGAATGTTTGGGTTAGGGTTGCGGATTAAAGGATAAATTAGAACGCGAGTTAGAATTTAGAGCAAGGGTAAATACGGACACGGGTTATAGGCTAGAGTAAGGGGTTTAGGGTTGCAGGTTAAAGGTTAGAGTAAGGATAAATTAGGACACTTGGAGTAAGGGTAAATATGGACACTGGTTATAGGTTAGGGTAAGATTTTGGACAGAATTAGTAGTAAGCAATTATATTCGTTACTAGAAACATTTATTATTATGTATTATGTATATTAATAAATAGTTATAATATAAACTTAAATTTTATATAAAATTGATCTTGCAATATTATTGGTCGATATGCAGATCATGTAATAGGGAAATTTCCCCCCGGTTAAAATTAGCAATACTCTATTAATATTATAGCATTGTTCTAAATATATTTGCTAAAAATATTGATATATATTATTATTATTACTGTATATTACTAATTATACTTTAATTAAAAGTTTATCAATACCAAAAATTTATTGAATCAACAAATAATTATTTGGTCAATTTTTTATCTGATATTTCAAAAATAATAAAAATAGCTATAAAACCAGAAATATATATAGATTTTAAATTTTGTAAATTAAAACTTATATAATATATAAAATACTAAAATATAAGCTTTAATAATCTTATTTTTAGCAAATACTATATACTTCTAATATATATATCTAAAGTATTCTCTAGTTCATATTATATATTCAGATACTTATATTGAGAATATATTATATAAATCCTTCTATATTTTTTATATATTTTACTATTATATGCTTAGTTATATAAATGCAATATCTTTATTTATATATCCAAGTATAATCAAAATTTTATCTTTAAAACTATTGTAAAGTATAGCTTATAGTAGATAAATATATTAAATGAATACAGTATATAGGGTGTGGCGACATAGAGTAGTGGTTAAGTTGTCACTCCCAAGCGGCAGGTCTAGAGTTCGATTCCTACCGGAGACATTTTTCAAAAAATAGACCTGTGTTCTGGTAACATTTATTCGACGATCGGTTGGGTATATTATCTTGAGGTGGGACCGTCCATTATCTGCAGATCGGTTAT